AGTATCAACATTTTTATTTAAGGATACAGTAGAGTTATCATACTATAAAAAGTGGAAACTTTTGCATAGAGAAAAGTGTTTTGATCCATAACAAAATAAATATTTTCTTGAAGCCTTTGTTCCTGGCTTTTTGAGAAAAAAAAATCGTCTACGATATGTCACCAAGAATTAGTCACGTGACCGTTAGACCGTGAATTAGTCCGTCGTTAAGGGATTATGTAAATTACGCAACAAGTGAAAGTTATTATTTGCCGCGCTCCACACCTTTATCTCAAAAACAAAGTGCACAGTTTCCCGTTGACAAAATTATGATCCCAATAACTTTACAAAAGTTATAACTCTTCATTAACAAAAAAAGCAAAATTCACAAAATTACCTTTGCCGCACTTAATTGATAAATAGAAATAGGCAAGAACAAAATGCATTAGACGACTACGTGATTAGATTACAACTCACGGTCACGGTCAAATTCACAAAGATAAAATATATAAACCAATCAAGGCATCAACCGAGAAGCGACGTCATTACCTCAAATACCCGCAAATCAATTAATTTAAAGTATTGATCAAACTACTTGTCGCAACTATGCGCTGATTTTGTCACGTTTGGTTACTTGACATATGGCGTCTTAAAGTTTGTGAATTAGCAATTTTGGCACAGTGAACATTGATATTAGCCGACTGATTGTTACTGATAGTATTTACGTCTTGATTAGGAAATGTTACTAACATTATAACAGACATGCCCGCCATACTGCGCGTGAAACAGATCAGGTGTGTACAACGTGCGCGGGCGATAACAACAATTCCAACTGTGTTTTGTTTTTGTTTTTTTTTTGTTTTTTTGGTGACTTGTTTTCAATCATAAGGTAGTTTATTTCCCCAGGAAAGCCACGTCGAGAATATTTCAACGCCAGGGCTGTTTTAGTTTACGTATTTGTTTGTCCGAATCGAACATCTTCGTGAATAATTAATTAATTACTAGTACATTACGTAATACTCGGCGACGTCATTTGAAGCAAAATTTATTAAATTCTGATTCACGATGGTCACATCATGCATGTCCCCGCTGAATTTTCTACATAACTTAAATTTGCTTGTTTTGTTTCTGAGAAATGTATGTACAAGTACAGTAAGTTGAAAGTGTCACGTCTGAGTGGCTTTCAATTAGCATTTTGTTTAGTTTATCCTCGGGGGCGGAGCTACGTCACAGACGTTCTACGTTGCTAAGACGCGCACCACTGTACCACGTATTTCTATGGGCTTTGTGCGCGCTGCTGTGGAACGCCGGTGGAGCCGGTGAAAACTCGAGAAAACAACACAAACTCAACTTTGAAGTAATCCTGAACAACCAAATTCATATATGTTACACACGTAGGGCTAATCTTGTTACGCTGTTCAGGGGACTCTCAATAACCATCGCAAAGTACCGTTTTCTGCGAGTTTTTGGTCTTTGTTTTCACCGAGAGGGTTGCCAGGCGGTAGAAAATGCCCGGATGTCCACCCTCGTGGATAGAAAAACATATGAGGTATTCGATAAAAATGTGTTCGATACTCTACTGAGAGGGGTGAATGTCAATGTCAACTTATTGAACATGCTCATTTGCATTTTTCAATCATTAACTTTCATTTTCCGTAAGAACTGATAAGTCTTTGCTTGAACTTGGTTAAACGTAATCATATTTTGAAACGTATTGAGAGTAACGGGACTGCAATATTAATAAACGCATTTGCATATCAATGAACTCATTTGCAAGTTTAATTTATTTTTTCTCATTTCATATGATCCTCACACTTATCTTTTTCTTTGCATGGCGGTGTCTATAATTCTCTACTTGCTCATGTTTGATCAACATTGTTAATGTTGCTTAGCTACGTACTTTCTTCAAATGAGCCCAGGTTATAAAGTTCTAACACGTATATCTTCCATGCCTACCCTGAATCAGATTGTTCTAATTGTGTGCATTCTAAACAGTGGAGCTATATCCGACAGGCTCTATGTTTTAGAATAAATAAGTATCTCAGTCATTGATACAAACAAATACACCACAAGGAATGTCGCTTTAGCTTTTCTTAATATACATCCCCTATTTACTCTTAACCATAAGGGGCTACACGGCCATCGTGGAAGAAGGGGACGACCTGGACCTGATGGCGATAAGGTGAGGCGTACTTTGTACTATATACTAGTATACCATACATATGGTGTCATATAATCTTGATAATCTGCATAACATATTTTAAAGATGCAGTGTTGGTGAGATCATGTACATTTTAATATCGCTGTGTCATACAGAATGTGAGTATGGATACAATGAATTATGATTTATCTATTCTAAAAACGCAGTCCTTGTATTCGTTCGATGACACAATGAAATTCTTTTTTACGCATGCGCGTTATTTTTTTTATGGTACGTGCATGAGCAATCGTTGCGCATTCGTATAAGTGTTTCTTTTTTCTTTTTGAATCAAGGAAATACTATACAATATGCTACTGTAACAATAGCAGATTACGATAAGTCATAATTAAATTTGTTTTCCGAATTGCCGTATTAAAATGCCCATATTGCATTTTCAAATAACGCATTGTGAAACGAGACATAAATCGCCATTCGTTTGACGTGTCATGACCGTGTTACGTATTTGTGACATCACAAACTATTTCGTGATTTGGGCGCCTATCCTATGTTAAACGTCACTGAGTCGCATCGATCGTATCAGTTGATGACTGAATATACATTTTCATCGAATAATATATATAAAAAAACGACACGTTACTTATGTCAAGAGAGACAAAGTAACAAATGTATCCGGGAAGTCATTAGTTAGGGCCATCTTATGGTACAATGAGAACCCATATCTATTTATCTCTTCCATTCTGTAAAAGTTATTGCAACCCGAGTTCTTCTTTTGAAGTGTGTGACCCGTTGATGACATTCTATGGCTACCTTGTGGAATTTTAATGCGAGGTTAAACGTCAAATCGCACTAACACTGTGGTAATTTTGTCGAAAATGTAATCTTTGTTTTCTCTTGTCTCATTTAACAGGGCGAGCGTGGTAATTCAGGTACCCATGGTAGTCACGGATTTACTGGTCAAAAGGTAGCTAATGCGTATTACCGGAACGTTTGAGTTTGCGCAACTGTTCTATACACACCAAACTGTACACATGTATGTTTTTCGAATTACCGTGCTTTAACGCCAGTCAGACACCACAGAGACTGAAACTTAAGATCCCCGGTACGACAGGGGAATCTTCAGGATGCAGATTATTCTTGTATGAGAGCGTTAATAAGTCATCCCGGGGGATCCTACATTTCTGATAGGAATCACGTTTTGTGAGAATCGTTGTATTTCAGCTTATCGGTTTAACCCGTTAGATTCCCCAAAGCATGTCTTAATACTTACATGATGAAAAACAGATGGTCTGTACAATATCGTTATTTTGGTTGTGCTAAACACGTGTGTTTTTGTTTCGGACCCTCAAAAGAAAATATAAAATCGTGTATTATCTAAGGAGACCTCCCCAACACATTTTTTGATTTATCAACATCGGGGTTATGACGTGGGCTTTCATACTCCCGACCGAATGTATCATTGTTATCGAAATACCTACATTTCGCATCTCTGTTTCCAGGGGGGCACTTAGATTACTTAGAAGTGTGGTAAAGACAGGAATTATAACAAGGTGAATTGAAGTGAAGTGGTGGCCAACTTTCGATAGGAGGGTTAAAGCACTGAGCAAGTCGGGTCACGATTAGCATAAGTGTCACAATACCATGTACTCCGTAACGATGAAATATGTTAATGTTCTTGACAGGGCCCGTATTATGATGATTGCAATCTGCACTGGTTTTATATTAAAACACAAATAATAATAATAATAATAATAATAATAATAATAATAATAATAATAATACATAATTTTAAAACACTCATATTATTTTAATATTTCGCGTTGTTGTTTACACACAGGGGAACATGGGATACACGGGACCTATGGGACCTGAGGGTGAGATGGGATCTCCGGTAAGTCGTTACTTTCCTCCAATCACGTACATTTGATATCATCTACATTTAGTCACACTTGAGTTCATACGCGTTGTTTACATGTACATGGTTACATTAACAACAATTGCTGCGAGCATTCTGAATCGTAAAAAGGGTAAAAATGCTAAAAATCAAAATTAACAACTAGATCTTCATTTTCTCAATAGGGTGAGGATGGTAAACCAGGCTTACCGGGACCCAAGGGCGAACAAGTAAGTGCACGTATTCTTGTGGTAATAATATGAGGTTATTACGAGGATGCACGAAGTATGCATGAAGACAGTACAGCAGTAGTATCGACCGACTGACGCGCAGCGGAGGCCGATGCGACGGCGTACTGTCTGAGTGCATACTTTGAGGCATCCTCGTAATAACCTTATTATTATACATCTTTTCCTTCTAAGGATACATCATGGGAATGCCAAAATCCAAAAAGTTTAGAACAGAATCAGCGAACTTCTTTGTGTGGAGTCCGGTCAAACCCTGGTGGCAGCCATGTTTTTATTATTAGAGGACGCTTACGCGCGTAATTAATCCATATTTGGAATTCGCATTTCTATGGTAGGATGAAATCACCCCGTAAAATACCGCACAATTACGGCACGCTGTAACTTATGGCATTACGGTGACAGATGTTTAATAATGAATTATATGTGTCGCAGCCAATGAAAGAATACGAATATTTTTTTTATCTATTTGTGTTGTTAGGGTTTGCCAGGTCAAAAGGGACTGCAAGGGGGCACTGGCCCGATAGGAAGACAGGTATGTATTTTGTAACGAAAATTGAATGTATGAATGACATCGTGACAGTTAAAACACATTTTCTCTCAAAATCTACTTCTCTATATTGAACATTCACGCAATTGTCGTTGTATCTTGTACGTGACATATTGCATGTGAGTACATGCTATTTTATAAGAAAAACACTTTCAAGTTGTGTTCTTCTACAATTTTAGACAAGTGGATTAATTAAAGTGATTAAATTAATTACAAAACATCGCCTTTTCTTTGCCCATGTGCTGAAATAAACAAATGTTCGTATTTGTGTATCCTTTGTGTTTATTGACAATACTTTGTTTGCTCATATGCGTATTGGTGTAACGTTTTTTCCGCATATTGAATAACTTGAAACAGCCTTCGGTGGTTGATCAGAAATAGAACCCATATAGAATTAATGCCTGGTTATTTATGGAAACAGAGGTACATTACTTGGGGTTTGCAACGCGCATAGTACTGTATGGTGACATCATGTCAAGATCCCATTCAAATCTCATCTCGTAGATAGCGAGACTGGTGCTACGACCTTCTGACATGAGATAGGCGGTTTGTAATAAAATAATAAAACATGTATTACCACATTCATAGTGAAAAAATGTAATACATCGAAAATGTAAAGAAAATATAGTTATCGTAATCCGACATATCGTGAGCAGCTATTTTGATCCACCTGGACATTCCAGTATCCTAGTTACCTCGGGCATGCGCAATCGAATTTTTCTGAGTTGGAACGCTTATGCGAGAGCGAGATTGAAACGGGATCTTGGTATCATGTCACCGTAGTTGCAAACCCCAAGTAATGTACCTCTGATGGAAATCATCAACCAATAGATGATTTGACGAAACCTTAAAAAAAAATATAATTATGTTAACAACCCAATTAGATTACAACATGTACAGAATTTACACTCATTCCCAAAAGCCTACTAAACATATAATATCTATTCTTAGGGTCCTCCCGGTGCAATAGGCCATCCAGGGCGAGTTGGAGAAACGGTGAGTACATTTGCACAGGCACATGTAGCGTAGGTTTACAACATTAATTTGAGTGTGTGTAGTGATAAGTCAATTTGTTGATTAAGTTAAGTATAAGGCAGTACAATCTTCTTATACTGGTACATGCACACTCAAATTAACAATTGCGTATTCAGTTAATAACTAGTTAAGTAATCGAAATAGGCGATTTTCTGTACAATTGCGAGATCTCGCGAGATGCATGAAAGACGCGCGCCGAACGTCTGCCTTAAAAACCGAACGATTTGATTTTGAACTAGAATTTCTTTATTTCGTAGCTTACATTGACCGGCCGATCTTCGACAGAGGAATATTGCTTCCGAATACCCTTACTTAATCGAAATTGCATATCATCAAATGTGGACAGCACATTATTAAGCATGGAAATGTTCCCGAAATACTTTCGCGTTTGTCGAATCCCACGCGATGTTTGACGCCACTACGACGCTATGACCTTTGTTTGTCCTGTTTTTACGTTCGATTTCACGCATAACGCGTGATTCTCGCAGTGAACGGAAAATGGTCTATTGCAAAACATTATTTGCCAATTCTCGGAGATGGCCATAAATATGACATTTCCAATATTCTGTTTCTTTTATTTTTCACGATCAATTTGTAGTTCAATGTCAGTGGTCTACTGTCTCCCATTGAACCCACGTCAAAAGCAGAATTTGTACTGTACTGTACTGTGCACCAAAGTTTACTTCAGCG